ACGTAGGTAGCACGCACTTAGTGGTGTAAGGTAACTGCTAATGCTAGGCAGTGCCCCGTCTCGACAATGACAAGTGATTGAGGATGACGTGACGTCTATTACCGATCGATGGACGGTCTGTGATGACGATTATCAGAGCCCCCAAAATCGATCAGTTTGGAGAGCAAAAGAAGGGATGAGTGCGAAGAGTAGGGAGTCAGAGGCGTGCACATGATGTGTATAAAGGTACTTTATTTACAGAGTAGAAAAGGACATGGTGTCCGGTTGCAGTCGGAAGAAGAGAGAGTGAAGTCAGAGGGCACACAACACTATAGTAACACAAACTATGTCCGTGTGGGGAACAATAGCCCGTACCCCACAAGTCGTGTGTGAAATTAGACCCAGTGTATTAAAGGGCCCACAGAGTCACTTTGCAATTTTTCATGATTCTTTAATGGTAAATGTGAGGTGTGAAAAAGCAGCCAAAAGGGTCAACTCATACGATAAGTGCTACAGCTTTATACCTAATATGACCACGAACGCCAGGCACTCAGTAGCGCGAGGAGCCAGGGCTGCCGGCGAAGAGTCATCGGGGGCGGAGCGCTGCAGCGGTCGGCGCACGGCGGCCCATTCTAGGGATCCCGACCGATCCCAGGCCTCGACCCCTGAGCTGCCTAGGCCAGTCCCCTCCTGAACCCCGCCCCTGACCTTAAGCCCGGGTAAAACCTCCGCTTAATGCATTTCACGTGTTGGGCTGAAATGCCGTCATGGCGGAAGCGGGCGGGTGCGTCAAGGACATAGTACAGTCGACTCGTTTCGCTCGTGCGACCCCCCCCTCCCCAAGCAAGCTTCCTTCGCGGAGTTTTGCGGCGGGACGTGGTCACCTCAGAGAGTACCACAGCTTATTCGCTGTCTTATGGGGAATGGGAAGCGCAGCTGTGTGTTAACGGAGGAGGGGCAGGACACGAGACTGGTGGGGTTATTCACGCCAGTTCGACAAGCATCCATCCCAGTTGCCGAGGCATAAAAGAGGCAACAGCTATCATC